TTTTGGTCCTGTAAGTATTACTGAATATATGTTTATATTTAATATTTATTTATTTTTAATTAATTTATTATTTATTTATTTTTAATTATTGCTTTTGTTCTTTTTTTTTTTTTTTTTCTTTTCTTGTTTCTGTTTAAACCTTGTAGGGTTGAGTCTCGCATAGTGACCTGCAATCCGGTACACACATTCACACCAGTAGGGAAAAGCAAACGCACAGGTACAATAACATAAAGTACAGCAGTGGGAAAATTGGTGTGTGGTCCAAGAGGAGAACAACAACAAAAAGAAAAAGAAAAATAATAAAGTGGTGAGAACAGAAGAGAGAGAGAGAGAGAGAGAGAGAGAGAGAGAAAGAAGTGAGGAGGAAAGATATATAATAAAGCAACACAAATATAGATATTCTTGGCAAATCAAATAAAATACTGAGAAGTGTGGGCAAGAGAAAAAGAAATACAAAAAAAAGAAAAAAGAAGAGAGAAAGAGAACAAGATATGCATTCTCCCATTACGTTTCTTTTCACTTTCTTAATTGTGCTGGCTACTATTACCGCCCGTGCTGGTGAGGATACCAATACATATAAGGATGGTGAACCGGTACGAGTATATGCCAATAAAATAGGACCTTTGCATAACGCCCTTGAAACATATGATTTCTTCCGCACACCCGGTTGTCCTCCTGCGAGTAATGAACAGAAGGCACCAACACTTGGACAGGCACTTGTTGGTGATGAATTATATGAACTTAATGTCTCTATTCACTACAATCAAGATGTGAAGCGTGCTGTCATTTGTAGCTTCACACCAACGGAGGGAGATATAACGCGATGGAAAGAGATGATTACCGGTAACTACGCATATCAATTACTTGTGGATGAACTCCCATTATGGGCAATGTTCGGTAAAATGACGAGTAATGGGCCTATGATTTATCTTCACCGTATTTTTCATATTGGTGTAAATAACCAACAACTTGTTAATGTTACTCTTGAAACAGGGCGACTTGAAAGTCTTCGTGCTGGTAAAGCCTATGAATTTACATACTCTGTGCAGTTTTCTCCATCTCTTATATTATTTGAAAATCGCTTTGCAAAATACATGGATGAAGATCTCTTTGAACCACGTATTCGATGGTTCGCTATTGCTAATTCATTGTTACTAGCTGTTTTTCTTGTTATTGTGGTCACAATGATTCTTTCCCGAGTAATTCGTGCGGATTATCAACGTATTGAACATGAATTGCGAATGCGGGATGAGGGAAATGATGATCTTGTGGACAGTACAGGATGGAAACAACTGTATGCAGATGTACACCGTGTTCCCTCCTTTCCGACCTTATTATGTGCGTTGGTCGGTACTGGTGTACAATTAGCGGTTGTATTTGTTTTGGGAGTTCTTACTGCGGCTTTATACAGTTTTCGTCGTAAACCTACACAAGGGGCAGTAACTGTAGTAGCCGTTTCATATGCTTTTACAGGTATTGTCGCGGGATTTGTCTCATCTGCACAATTTCTACGGTATGCAATGTTAAGTCCTGTATTATCTAAGAAATGGATGCGATGTATGGAGTTTACCATGTTCGTGTTTCCATTATTTCTTCTTTCATGTGGAACGGTAACAAATGTTTTGGCACACCTTTACGAATCTGCTCAAGTTGTTCATATGGGTGGTATTACTTTTCTTATTGCGTTGCTTTTTCTTGGATTCGGTCCATCTGTGGTAGCTGGAACTCTCTTAGGACGATATGCATATAGGCGTTTAGCCTTAGCACCAAGAAGTCATCGTGATTTGCCGCATGTAAATCAAATTCCTCGTCTTATTCCTCCAGCACCTAATGTGTTTTTATCTACTACTGTTTTTATTCTTCTTTGTGGGGCACTTCCATTTGGATCCATTGTATTTGAACTCTGTCTCGTCTTGAGTTCTATTTGGTTAAACAAACTTTACTATTTATATACCTTTTTATTACTGACCTTTATTATCTTTTTGGTTGTTACCTGTTGTGTATCTATAGCCGCTACCTATGTACTGTTAAACATGGAAAATCACCGTTGGCCGTGGGTGACATTTGGATTTGGTGCTTCTAGTGGACTCTATGTGTTTTTATACTCTCTTTACTTTTACACATTCCGTACAGCAATGAGTGGGCTATTCATTACTGTATTTTACTTTACATACTCCGCTACATTGTCTGCGGCAGTGGCACTCACAGGGGGGTCATTTGCGTTTCTCACCGCCTCACTATTCATTCGAAAGATTTACGCCTTTGTGAAGTTAGATTAGGCACCAGAGAGAGATAGAAAGAGAGAAAGAAGACATCAACAAAGGAAGAAGAAAAAAGTAAAGAAAGAATGTGGAAAGGGTGAATTCAGAAGTAACGAAAAAAAAAAAAAAAAACAAGAAAAAAAAAACATGTCTCTATCTTTCTCTAGGCGTCGGTATGTGCTTCTGCATTTTTTTTTTTTTTTCTCTATTCTTTCCATTATTCCTTCTATCGAAAAGTGATGGGGGTTACAAACATGGGAGAAAAAAAGAGTAAGGAAAGGAAAAAAAAAAAAAAAATGAATGAAAAGGGTGATTAACTAGTGGTTGGTTTCTAACAGTGATGGAACTGTTAATAGGTGGACCGATTGTTAGAAGATTATCTGTTGCGATGGAATTGCGTAGATTAGTTTTAGAGGAAGTAAAAAAGAAAAAGAAAAGAAACTTTAGTTGAGATTGTTATGTTGGTTTCTTTCGAGTCTATATGTGTGTTGCCTGTGTGCACAAAGATACGCGTGAAAATAAAAGGAAAGAAAAAAAAAAAAAAAAACCTTGACAACTCAAACACTCAGAAAGAAAACTTCACTTTAAAAAAAAAAAAAAGAGTAAAAAAAAAAGGGATGGATTAACTGAAGGGGCAGATCCCAATGTGTGTCTCAATTGACGTTTCTCACTGTATAATGTGTCCTTTTTTTTTTCTTTCTTTTTGCTCTCACCTCCCTTTCCTGTTATTATTATTTTTTTTTTCTCATTCTCTTTATGCAGGTGACCCTATTTCTCCATAAGTATCTTTCTATGAATATATAATGTATATGTTTTTTTGTAAATTTTCTTCTCTTAATTTTTTTTCTTTTTTTTTTTCCTTTTCTTTCGGTACTCTATTTTTCCTTTTACTTCTCTGTGTGTGTGTGGGTGTGTGTCTGAAGTACGTGGAGTGATCATTATTTTGATCTCTGGAATTAATCCACAATCTCTCAGTGAAGAAAGAAAAAAAAAACAAAAAAGAAGAAAAGGGTGTGGTGGTAAGGGGAAATAAAAGGGAGTGGGGTGTGTATTGATATTTATACATATATATATATAAATATAGATATATATATATATATATATAGTCACATTATTTGTGTAAATGAAGTTTGGTGCACAACAAACAGATGATGGGGATGAAGTCATAGCCACCTATAATGTCTACTCATCCCCCATGTTGCAACATCAATTACATATATTTCAATTTCCACTGAGGCGAAAGATGCGACCGTACGAGGCAAGTGATGTGCAACTCTTCGCTACTGAAGGGGTAATGCAAGCGGAAGATACATCATCTCTATTAACATCCTCTGCAACAAGAGGAACAGAAACAACATCTAATGCCCATGGACAAGGGACTTCATCCAATATGATTCTACGACCCTCATCAAGATTAACAATGCATTGTCGTATTGATACCTTTGGTTCAAGTTCTTTTGCAGATCCACCGCCACAACAACAACAACAATTGGATAATGCATCAGGAAGAGGAGAACAACAACAACAACAAAGACATTCTTATCACTACGCATTACAATCACAACCCTTTCAATCACGATGTGATTACGCTGTTGGTTTTATTGTGGATGGAGCCATTCACCTCACTCCTGTCAGTACTATTCAGCAGTTTACACCAATTGTAAAACCAACATCATTTAATACTGTCCATCGTGTGGGTGAGGCCTTTGTGAGTGCACCCTCTATGGCGATTGTCCCCGGCCTCACCATCTCAGACCGCATTAATCGTGAGATGCTACGACAGCGCAGTGTCATGTTAAACACAGATGCCGATTCTGCAAAGGAATTACAATATTTTCCCATCAACTCTGTCGAGAGTATGGCGATGCGACGTCGTCTCTGGTCACCGGTGTATGATGCCGCGCCGATTGCACGTGCAGCCGCCACTCAGCGTGTAAAGACACGAACAGAAGACAGTCTTTTCCCACCAGAGCTTCTCGTTTCGGGTGGAATCACTGGAGGCGAAGGAGCGGCCACTGCAGGCAATCTCCTCCGGCGATACGCCGATCGTCACAGTGTGATGGATCAAGTACTCGTACTCCTACGGCGATGTCAGGTATTGACATTTGAAGAACTACGCGAGTTAATTGTTCCACCCGATCAGGCATTCATTCCCTCATCACCTGTATCACGTCAACAACCACAACAACAACAACAGGAACAACAACAACAACATCAGGTGAAGGATGAACAACTTCTTGAGGCACTACGAGAAGTGGCAGTTTGGATGCATGGAGTGTGGGTCTCCAAGACGGCTCCTCGCTTTAAAGGACCTGTAGCCGCATTACGTGAAGTTATTCTCCTTCACTTCTTTGAAAGCCCAGATGCTACAGTCACACGTGCAAGTTTAAACGCTCTTGTTACCAGCAATGTACTTCGACGAACTGTAAAGGAAGTATTGGAGAGTGTTTCCTCACTTAATAAGGATGAACCAGATCCTTCTAAACGGGTTTGGCGTCTTTGGCATGTGCCTTCTTCTTCAGAAGCGCGAAAGGCGATGATACAGGCTTCCGAAAGTATATGTCCGCAGGAAATCACATTTCAACGAATGCAATGGGAAAAGTTTAAACCTTATATAATGTCCCATTTGAATGCCATTAATGCCGGACAATCTGTACCCCGTCTTCTTTTCACTACTCGTAGAAATGATGTGAGTGGTGATATTGCAAATATTACCGGTACAGCTGCTGCTGCTGCTGCCGCTGCGACAACAAGTGTCAATCCTGCTTCTTTTAAAGATGAAGATATTGCACCTATTGTAGGGTATATTCGAAGACTATTTCTAGAACACGGTGTGTTAAATAAACAACGTGCAAAAGAACTTGTAATGAAAGCGAAACAACAACATTACCCAGATGCAACAAATCCAATGCTGAGTGCAGCTTTGCAGCGGTGTGTGCAACCGTTTACAAATGCCACCTGGGTCTTGAAAACACTTGGCGAACCAGAAGTGGATCGTCATCGACCGTTGATATTAGAGACCGTACTGGAACTTGTTAACTTTGAGACTCGTGCTTTTCATGCGTTACTGGAAGAGAAACAACAACGTCTGCGCACTGGCAGTTCCAGTGGTGGGGATGATCAAGCGGGTGGTGGTGGTGGTGGTGGTGAGGACTTGCAGAAAGTCATCTCACGTGTATTGGCAGAGGTGGCCGTGTATAAACAACACGAGAGGTTGTGGCATCTCAAGAGTGGCAATGTGATCATCGAGTAATAAAACCACATACGGCTGAAACACAAACAACAAAAGGGAAAGCAACCATGAAAAAAAAAAAAAAAATGAAAAAAAAAAGAAGGAAAGAAGAAGAATGAAGGATTGCACGGTGTAAATGAATTTCTTTTTTTTTTTTTTTAATAATAAAAAGAAAAAAGAAGACATGAATGAAGTTTAAGTTGGTCATAAGAATGACGAAAAAACGATATATTGTGTATTCTTTTTTTTTCTTTTTAATCCTGGTGTACATCTCTTTTTTTCTCTCTCTCTGTGTTTGTGTTTCTATATATATATATATATATGTATTTGTATGTGCTACTCTGTGTTTCTCTGTTTTTTTTTTTTTTTCTGGGGAGGGAAATGATGATTCAATTCCATAATCTCTTAATTATCTGCTAGACACGTAAACTTATTGCTTTTCATATTTCTCTTTTATATATCTAGAGTTGTACAAGTCGTAGGGAGAAAAGAAAAGGGGGAGAATAAGCAAGAGAGAGAGAGAGAGAGAGAGAAAACTAGATAGAAATTCAGCACTTAAGAAATACATTACTCATCATTGAGAAGAAAGAAAAAAAAGGAAAAAGAGAAAGAAGAAAACGAAACAAAAAAGTAAAGTTTCTATCTTTCTGTATTTTTTCTTGTTTTTGTTTTTCTGCTTTTTCAATATTTTCTAAGATTAAAATTTCAAGGTAAATTGAGAGTCTCTGGCTCTCTTTTTCTTTTTACCTTTTGTGTTGTTCGCGTTGTTTGTTTTTGTTTTTATTGTTGACTTTGCATACGTGTGAGTGGGGCCCTTCTACAGTTTCTTAAAGTACTCATGGACACTTTGGCGTATGTCTGCAGGGAACGAGACGCTAATGCGGTTCGCCTTGAGGTTCCACTTATATCCGTCAAGGCAACGGCATTCAGCGGCGGCAGCAATACTAATAATAATAATAATAATAATAACAACAACAATGAAAATAATAATGGCGAGGAGGTGCCTGCATTACTCGCCTCGCACCGTAAATTGCTGTGTATGAACATGAAACAACCAAACCGACTGCGTGTACTTAATCGAAAGGGAAAGTACGCTGAGACGGATGTACACACACCTGTGTTGCGTCATTTGGTCTCATCTGAGGGACATCTTGATCATTGTGCCTTCTTCGCTGTTGGCGGGAGTGAAGTGGTGCGGCTTCGGCCCGTAAACCAAGCAAATGGAGAGATCAGCATTCAACTGCGTGAGTTGAATTTGCAAGAGGAACTCTATGGTGTTGCTGTTGGCAATGGTGATATGGCATATGCACTTGGTAGGAACCACGTGTTCGAAGTGAATATGGAAACTGCAACGAAAGGGGCGGTTATAGATCTCACTTCCAGAACCGTTGTAAAATACCCTGTTATTGCATATCATCATGAGACACAATTATTACTAACACCGGCGAAGAGTAATTGTCTCGATCTCATTTCCGTTACAACACGTAAGAGTGTACTTCCAAAGGTGTGGGAACCACATGCAAATGCTGTTCCAACGGCAGCCTTTTTCTTGCAGCAACGTACTTTTTCCAATGAACCAGACGGTAATGTGTATATTGTCACCGCTGCGCGTGGTAACTCTGAACTTCGTCTTTGGTGTTATAATAAGGAAACACGTACTTTTTCGCTTAAACAAGATATCTGTATCTCATATGATAATAATGATACAGGGGCGGCAAATACTAACCGTGTCCATCCGGCACAATCAGAGGGAGAAAACTCCTTCCTTATCAGCTGCACACCTTCTGAGGAGTACATCACACTCTGTTCACGAGAACACGCTATTGCTGTTGTAGTTCAACTACATCGCAGTAGCTTTAAGGTAGATCGTATTACTTCATGGAAATTGCAGGGTCCAACTCTCAGCAGTGTGGCGACGGTAGGCAAAGTGGCGGAATCCAATGTCAGTGCCTCCGTGGAGTATCAAGTTATGTTAACAATTCGCACTGCCACTGGATTTTACGAGGAGATTCTTGATGTTGAGAAACTTGCTGGTGCCTCCAACACTGCCGCTATGAAACAGGCATCCATTGCGACGTGGTTTCCATCTGTTGAGACAAGTGGTGCTGGTGCTGTTGGCGACACGGCGGTGGGAGTTCCCACGGCGTTGACTTCCGTCTCTTCTTCTGTTTTAGGTGATAAGATGACAAATGCGGTTCCACAATCAGTGGCCTCGAGAATAGTGCGACAACAGGCATTACAGTTCTGTGATACATTACGTAGCATTGATGAAGGTGTGGTGGGTCTGCAGAAACGGGCCTCGGAGGCAATGCAACTCTTTCAAGATGCCCGCGCCAGAGAGGAAGCACAGACCATTGGTCGTAAATTCGCCGTACGTAATAAAGGCCGTCTGGAGCTTGAACTCGAACAACAACAACAACAAGAAAGACGACAAACACCACAAACACCTGGAACTGTCAGTGCCGCACAAAAGGAACTGTTGGAGCAAATACATTCCATTGTGGAGGAAGTGGAAACACTCACCGCAGGGTCAGCTTCAGATGTAGTGAAGGCGTTACTTTCTCGACGTTTGAAGGATTCAGTGGCGAAAGGAGCAAAAGAAGCCGAGCAGATTGAATTAAGTACACTGGTGCCTAGCATTCGATCCACTGACAGTATGAGAATATTTAACAATGGTGTTGATGCCGCTATGCGAACACTTGTTCGTGCTATTAAAGATCATCATGCAATGATGCAAACATCTCTCAGCGTTACGACCAATTCCTCCAATGATTGCATTTCTAAAGCGAAAACCTTTAATGAATCACTTAAACGTGAGATGCAACAACTGAAAAATGAACTCAAGGAGACAATTGAAGTAGTCTCTCAAGTGAATATTGATACAACTCCTGTTCCAGTTGATCCGGATGTTCTTGTAGCCCGTGCTGTGGAACTTGCGGAGGCTGGTGAGTGGGGTACTGCTCTTACAGTAGTGCTAGAGGCTTCTGATATTACAGTCTTATTGGCATTCCTTGAGAGTAAGGTGTGTGTTGATAATAAAGCCACTATGGTCAGTCCTCAAACACTTACATTACCAACATTTCTCAGTCTTTGTCTACAGCTTTCTTTTGAATTGGGCGAGCAACCAGGAAGTATTCCTCTGCGTATTCAATTACTACATGCATTCTATGTGGAGTGGGATGACACATTAAAAGAAATGAAACGACAAGCGGCATTGGATAAAAACCACCAGAAACCAATGTTTGAATTAACGAAACAGGAACTACAGAGCGTTGCGGAACAATTGGCGGCTGTTCAAGATAATTCCATCGATCGTCGAAGCCGTAACAACCTCCGCTTACTAAAAAAACTGATAGGCTCTTTGATTGCAGAATAACTGACAGCTTTAGGAAAGACGTCTTCTTTGTGTGTGTTTTTATTTTTATTTTTATTTATGTTTTTTTTTTTTTTTTTCTTACTATTGCCGCAGTAACAGCAGCAAGATAATTTTAAGGTCCCTGTTTGCAGTTTGGTAGCGGTGGTGATGATGATGATGATGGGAGGTGTCGTACGCGAGAAAGAGCGAGACAGAAAAGTCTCTCTGTGTGTGTAAATGTATGGGTGTATGGGTGTATGCGTGGGAAACGTGTTGGCCACACCAAAAGGAAAAGAAAAAGAAAATTTAAACTGAAATGGTATGCTAAAGAAGCCACATACAAAGAAACAAACAGACATTCATTCATTCATTCATTCAGCAAGAGATAGAACCGGTGTGTGTGTGTGTGTGTGTGTAAGAGAGAGAGAGAGAGAGAAAGAAAGAAAGGTAAATATGAGAGAGAGGCAAGAAGAAAAGGGGCATGAACGGAAAGAGTAGCAGGAGGAGAGATGATAACAAAGAGGGAAATACACATGCTTTCCCTCTGAAGAGAAAAAAAAAAGGAGAAAAAAAAGGGAAAGGTGGAAAAACGAAAAAAAAAAAAGAATATTGAATGTGCGAGAAGAAGAAGAAAGAAAATAATCAGCAAGGTGTGATGTCGCATCTGTATTAAAGAAAAAATAGAAGAGACATCTCAGCACCTTGATGTGCGGCATATATATATATATATATATTTTGTTCTTGTTTTATTGATATATAGCTGCTTTACTTTTTATTTTTATGCGTTATTTATTAATTTTGTCTCTCTTCTATATGTTTTTTTTTTTTTTTAATTTCTTCTTGTTTTTTTATCATGGTAGCGAGAAAAACGGGAAAAGGATAAAAACGAAGTGATGAGTGGAGATCGACAAGTAGAGGTAATAATACCGCCATGTAATGTGACTCGTGTACTTATTGCGTATGCGGATACATACTTCGGTAAACGTCTTTTTCAACACTTTCAAGATATCACTTCTACCAACAGTACAAGTAAGAACAATACCAACAACAATAACAACAACGGTAATGATGTTAAAAGAAGTGATCAACATTACAAAATATTCGCATGTATGTGGGAAAAGGACAGTGTACAAAAAACTACTGAATCCCAGGAGGTGTTGATAGAAACAGAAGCTCCGACAGAACTAGCAGTCGCAGGAGACTCAGATACCACTAATACTACTATTCATATTGCTAATGTTACCACTTCGACGAGAATTGGTTTCACTGATGTTAGAGATGAGAATCGTAATAATCATACAACATCCTTTTGGCGTGGAGATGCTGTGTCAATGCAATTTGCTTTAATGGATGCTGATTATATTGTGATGGAACTTCGTCAAGCACAGGATGTTTTTGATATGATGCAGGTTCTCACTACAAAAGATCTGCTCAGCAAGAAGCATGTTATTCTTGTTTCCTCACTCTTAACTTGGTTTGCCACACCTCCGCTACAGTCTGAATCCCCAGAGGATGGTAACAACAATGATGATAACAATCCAAATCTTCTTGAAGAGGATGAAGAGGGAGAGGTGGCAATGGTAGAGGAACAGGAGGAAGAACTCCAACCAATTAGCAATCGAGAATTAGATGAACTACTTGGACCTGTTTATACAGATGATTACATTGGCAACATTGGCAATACTGATGAAGATGGTAATAAAATGTATGATGATGAAGAAGAAAATGATAAAAATGTTGAAACAATGGAAATCTTTACTGAAGATCAGTATAATCGTCGAATACCACATGCAAAATATTATAACTGGCGTGAAGCAGAACGTGCTGTGGCTGCTGCTCATAATGAAGAACGGCATCTTCACACTTCTGTAATTTTTTCAGGATTACAGTATGGTGAAGGTGAAGACGTACTTGCACCATTCTTCGCGCAGGTGTGGAACCGTGATGAGATGGGTTTACCAGTGTATGGAGATGGAACACAAATTGTACCAACAATACACGTTCGAGATCTCGTAACGTTCACATGGAGATTACTGGAAAGAACGGTATCTACAGAAGAAATGTCATCCCCCGCATCACGTTATTTATTTGCTGTAGATAATGGAACTGTCAGTTGGGGTCGTATGGTGCAGGCAATGAATTATGCATTTGGTGGTGAAAAGACATTTTTGGTACCACCTGAAGATTTTGTATTGTACAACAATGTAGAGTTTTTTACAATGAATCTACGTGCTGATAATCAGACAATGCGGGATTTAATGCCAGCTGAAGAGGATTGGGTTGCGCAATCTGGATTTGTGCGGAATATGGAAAAGGTGGCGTTTGAATATGTGAACGCACATAACCTACAACCAGTACGCATAACTATTATTGGACCACCTCTCTCTGGTAAGACCTGTGCCGCAGAAGATTTGGCACAAAGACATTACAGTTTACCAACTTTCACAATAGAGAAAGTAATTGAAGAGTATAAAGGGCATATTGCTGAACTAAAAGAACGTCTTGATAAGTTTAAACGTCATTTATTTAACCGTGAAAAGTTACGACGAGAAGAGGCTAAAAAACGTGCTTTTTTGCGACCTCGAAAGAAGGAAGAAACAGATGATGAAATGGAAGTAAAAGAAGAAGACGAGGAAGAAGAAAAGCATATTGCTGGTGATGAAGCTGAAATGGAGTCGCCGATGCATCCCTCTAATGCTTCAATAGGTCTAAATAACTCAAATAGTGGCAAAAAGAATCATCATGCTTCTGATAACGATGATATAGAGGACAAACTTGTGGATTTTACATTAACAGAAGCAGAGGCACAAGCCGTTGAAACTCTTGTAGATGAATGGTATAGTCAGAATGAACGTGTGACTCGTCTGCAAGAGACCATTTCAGCAATGGAGCGTGTACTTTTAATGAAGTTGCGAATACAACCAACCTTAACTGCTGAGGCCCTCAATATGAGTAATCCGAAGAAGCGAAAGGAACAACAAGGCAAATCTAAACGATCTAGCAAGTCACCTGGTAAAAAGGGAACCGTTGATGAAGAAGAACCTTCAGTGGAACAACAGGAGAATGCACCTTTTCAAGATAAGGCACTTGCACTCATGATGCGTTGGCGTCTCACTCGTGCAGATTGTCGTAATCAAGGATATGTACTTGATGGTTTTCCAAAAACGGTTGCCCAAGCACGTCTTGTATTTGGAGATATGCCACTTGAAGTGCCTGATAATATAGAAGAGACGATGCCTTCCGCATCCACAGGGGCACCTCCTGGAGCAACAGGAGCAGGATTAATTTCTATTTCTGATGGAAATACGGCACCCCCCACATCAGAGCCCTGTGATGAGGCACGATTACCTTCATTTGTTTTTGTGTTTAATGCGGCTGAAAATTATTTACGTGATAGACTTACTGCAGTATCGAGGACGTTAGAAGGACCTCCAGGAACTGAAGAAAAACGTCTCGCAAGGTTTGAAGAGGCGTTGACGATATATCACAAACAGTTTGTAGATACAGATTACTCCCTACCAAACTTTTTTGAATGTGCTTGTACAGTGGCTAAGACCCTTACCCCAGGTGGTCGTAAACCAAAAGTTATTACTATGAATGTGGATAAGGAACCACTCATGCTCCCACCACCACCACCGTCAGTCTTTGCTGTTGTACCACCCACTAAAGTGGTGAAGGCACTGTGTGAATATGTGGGCGCTCCACACAATTTTGGTCCCACACCAAAACAGAAGTTTGAGGAGGAAACACGGGAATGTAAACTGGTGGCGGAGGAGTGTGAGAAGGAACGTCAACAACGCATGGCGCAGCAGGAACGTGAGCGGCAGGAATATGAACGCGAGAGTGAACAACAGCAAGAAGTGGAGAAGGCACGTCAGGCTGTGGAAGAGCAAGATCGTGCTTCACTGGAAGAACGCAAGATGCCGCTGCGACTCTACCTGCAGCAAAATATATTACCACTATTAAGTAAAGGTTTGGTAGAAGTGTGTCGTCAGCGTCCTGGCGATCCGGTGGACTTTCTTGCCGAATGGCTTGTGCGACACAATCCATTAGATGATTCCTGTTTCGACTTATAATAACAAAGTCGTCGCGTTCCGTTATTCTTATCAACTTTCTTCTTTGATGTCTTGCGGAATGTGTTTGTCTTTGTGTTTGTTTGTTTGTTTGTTTTTTCTTGTTTTTCTGTGTCACTACTTATTTGAAATGGTGCCCAAGATGTACGTTAGCTGCTTTTATTATTATTATTATTATTATTATTATTATTATTATTATTATTATTATTTGTCTTTCTATGTTTTTTTTCTCTATTTACAATTCACACTATGTGTCGTACATACTTCACACACACACACACTTTGGGTGAGTTGATGAAACCTACGCGTCGTTTATTTTCTTTCTTGTTTTTTTTTTTTCCAATTATTACTTCTATTTACTCTCCATTACTGAAATGGGAAAAAAATATATAAGAAAGAGAATCAAAAAAGAAACGCAGGGAAAAGAATGTGAAGGATAAATTGGTATGTAGTTCCGCACCCGCAGCCCCTTTCTGGGAAGGATGGGAAGGGAATAAAACAAAGTCAAATCAAATACACCTTTGCTGAAGTTTTGATGGTTTTTTTCTTTTTCGGTATTGTATTTCTCTTGATATTAAGGTATTTTTGTTCCCTTTTTTATTTATTTGTTTCTTTTTTTTTTTTAATTTATTTCTTAATTGCTACAAGTGTATCTGTATTTGGTTTTCGTAGACTCTTATTCTTTCATGTTCACTCCCGACGACTCCAGCTCATCACCAGATGATAATAGTGTTTCCGTTAATAAAAAAGCCACATCTCGCCGAACCATGAGGTCACTCTTCGCAGAAGACGCTCTGCAATCCAAGCAAGGCGTTACTTCACTACGCTATGAGGATAAGAGTGCCACAAACAAAACCGTCTCTCTCAACGTTATGGGAAAGAACAATAGTAGTGGTGACAATAATAACACATATAGTATTCCACCAAATGCCCCATCACCACTCCAGACCGCTTCACAGGCTGTGGTGTTAACATACAAAGGTGAAAACTCATTGGGGCCATGTGTAGTTGCTCTGTGTGTGCCACATATAAATGCTTCTATTACTGTTCCACTTATCGCCATTGTTGACCGCGAGAAACGTCCACAATGTCGTGTACGATTGGATGAGAATCTTCAGTTTCTACAAAACAAGTCTGAACCACAATATGCTTCTTTGTATGATCCTACCTTTGATTGTCATTGGACACTTATGTTCAAAGGACGCCGTGAATGTACGGAGTTTGTTGCCGCTGCTCAGACAAGTCTTCACTGCACAGATATAGGAAACAATGAAAAGGTTCCTTATATTAATTGGTATAATAAAATAGAAGAAGAAGAAAAAGAAGGTGAATCTACAAAGATTGTTTCCCGTGGTGATGTTGTATCTGTCTCATTTATGATATGGTTGCTTCGTCGGGTGCCAGGTACACGCTTTTTCTCACTGGGTAAACTAATTGAGGAAGTCCCTCCAGAGGCACCACGTGAAATTGTAGTTGGTGAGGGAACCATGATGATTGGTATAGAAGAGTCTCTTCTTGGGATGAGTGGTAGCAACAGTAATGATAGTGGTAGTGGAACTTCAAGATTAGTCTTTGTACCACCCCAAAAAACACAAATTTGGAAGGGCATAGGCAATCCAGAAGTGACATCAACTGATAGTATTGTTGTACATATCACCTGTCATGATGTTATCTCACGTTGTACCGGTGGTAGTGGTGGTAATAGTAGTAGTAATAGTAATAGTCGCAGACCGGTTATCACAGATGACTTTGGGAATCGAGTTTTCAAAGGTAACAAACGGATTGAAGAAAGAGAAATAATGCACAGCAAGAATAATACCCCACCGGTAGAAGTTCCAATGAATCCTACGACTGGTATTGGTGACACTAACATGCTTTTACAAGCCTTCCTTTTACAAACACTACAGCAACAACAATTAAATAACAAGAATGTTGCTGGTCTGGGAAATTCTACTACGGAGACTCAAAGTACAACTCGCTGGGATGTTGTCGAACGTAGCCTTGAACGAGTTCAACTACAGCTTTCATCACTTTACGAAAAGATTGATCGTCTAGGTATAGATGAAAAAATTGAGAAAAATAATCTTGCCATTGAACGAATTGTGAAGAAAGCCATTGGAAAAGCACCCGTTAATGATGTGGATATAGAAGATATGGTAAAAGACCGAGATGGTCTCCTTGCTGTTATTGAACGACTTAAAGTTCGTCTTGAAGAGGAGTCAAGTAATTATCACCGAGCCCTTGAAGCGATGGGACGTCACAAGGATGATCTTCATCGCATGCAGAATGATATTAGAATACAAGAAGAAACACACACCACACGGATGCGGGAATTAGAGGAGCAGCGGCGATTGCAATTGGTGGAAGCGGAAGTGCGACACCGTCAGGCTCTCGAACGGGTATCAGAAGAAAAGTTCCGCGAGGGTCAAGATGCGGGTTTCAAGGCGGGTGTAAAGGTTGGGCGACAAGAGGCACATGATGCGGCGGGTACACATAGTGAAATGGAATGGAAGGAACGTGTTTTTGCTAGTGAGCAGCGTGTTGTGTTGTTGGAATCAGAAATGCAGGAAAAGGAGGGACATCACATTGCGGAACGGCGACGATTGCAAGAACAGATAGATGCACTACAAGATATGTTATCACGATTGGAAAAACGTGAAGAGAAAACGGAGGGACAAATTATCTCACAGTTTGGTCCTGATATAATATCGAAACAGTGTAAAACACTGCGTCGTGCGTTGAATGCGACATACACAAACATCGAGACACAATTGTGTGCGTTAAATGAAGAAACTGTGAGGGTTGAGGATGTTTTGCAAATGGTGCTCTTCGCCGTAAGATCTGAAGCTCATGCATTTACAGATGAAATTAAAAAAGAGGCGGCATTGCAGTCGGAGAGAATACCTCCTGTTGGTGATATTGGAGAACGGTTGGCTACACTATTGAATGCTCAAGGCGAATCCGCTTCTACAGCAGAGAAAGTGGGTAAAGAAGTAGTGTCTGAAGATGGAAATGATGAGGTAGTAAAAGGAAAAGAAGAACAAGAACCAAATTTTGTGATGTTTCCTCCCTCACATGATGTTACAACAGAGATACATCAACAAAAGCAAAAGGATGACTTTCTGGATTTAGGAACCCTACCACCAGCACCACCACAGATGCTGCAAACATCAGCATATAATAATGCCGATGTATTTCCTGATCCCCCTGAACTTTTGTTAACAGATGATAATTATGACAAGAGTATTGTTTCAGAGTGTAAACAGGTTATGGGGGTTTGCTCATTGGAAGAAGAAAAAGCTGAGGATAAGAACAATTCTTGATAATGAGAAACAAGAGAACTGCGAATGACTGTTATCTTTATCGTTTTTTTTTTTCTTTTCTTCCTTTCGGTTTGTTTTCTTCCTTTATTGTGTACGAAAAAAAATGCGTCCATCTATGTTGTTATTTGTTGATGTTGGTGTTAGTTGCTTTTTTTTTTTTTTTTGAGGCATCTAATTTATCGAATCCTGAATGGAGGTGTGTGTCAGTCTAACTCTGGAAGAGGAGGTTGAGGAGGGGAAAGAAAAAAAAAAAAAAAATTGAGACGGGTTGGTGTTCTACTGGTTTGTACCTATATATGTGGGTATTGTGTGTGTTTTTTTATTTGTTTTACTGCTCTTTTTTTCCTTTTGAATTCTCGTCATATTTTCTTTTTTCTTTTTTCCTTTTTTGACGCTTCCATTACTATTATTCTTCTACTTAAATGTATACATGAAATACATCATCAGCGGTGCATTGAAAAGATGGGAGGTGGATTCTTCTTGGGAAAACTATTGGCTCGTCTTGTGCACGGCAAACAACACGACGCTGGAGGAGTCGGGCGTGATGTGGCGGTGTTTGACGCGGCGTTAACACATACTGTGCGGTGGTATGTTGTTATTGGCTCCGTTGCTGTTGCCATAACGCCTTTATTATACTCCACAGGACGTTTGCTGGCGACGAAGCGGAAAGCAGAAATTGTGCATATAGCTTCTGCCATTTCACACTCTGTAGGTGATATGAATACTAGTGTAGCTAAGTCGTCATCATCATCATCATCATCATCATCATCATCATCATCGTTACTATCGCTTCGTTCATTGTTTATCTCAACTGCTAGGGTTACGCTTAGGGCACGACGGATTCTTAGTGCACAACATGCCACAGATGCCGAGTTTGCTGATGTGTTTACTAGTGAAATTATAGGATTATACTCGGATGTGGTGCTCCAGAGTCTATTGCGTTGTTTTTTCTGTGATTGTATCAGCCATGTTAGTATTTTCACACTATGTGCTGCGCTAAATCGCTTCGATGGTTTCATGGTTGGTCGTAATGCATACCATGCTGATGTTGTCCATTCTGCTGGAGTGTACCAACGATTTTTGTCACTCCTGCGGCGGATGTGGTTTCAGCTGCGACACGATGGACTGATGAGCCATACTATGGAGGACGTGTCAACACCTTACACATTCTTTATATTCAGTCAATCCAGTTGTCGTATGATTGAACGTTGGTTCCCGTGGCTTGGTACCATCCACTTTACGGCTCTTAGCTGTATGGACCCGTGTACGTACATAGATCCTCACTGGCGCAATGCAAACAAGGCAGATAGCGTCTGGCGTGTTATGACACCAAAAGGATTTGCCGTGATGTGGTGCTGTCGTACACTTCCGCGTCTGCGACTACAGACACTTTACTCTGCTGCTGTACATAACGACACAGTCGTTTACACCGCCCCCGCAGGAGGACGCACAACACATGTGGAGAAGCCAAACGGGGATATGGGAGTAGTGTCTAGTAGTAATGAGGTAGTTAAGGGTGATGGTGGTTGGCTTCATGTAGGGGTGATGCTTGGTATTGTGCGAGACTTTGTTATCCGCACAAGCAAAACATCTGTTATAGTGTTTATTGTCACCTCACTCGCCACAAAATCGAATTTCTCCTGGCTGCCTTTTGAGTGCAATGGAGGTCCACAGTACGTGGCGCTTTGTTACGCAGAGATCGTCTCGGTACTTTGGAGCACATCACTTTTTGTGTTGCCTCATGCGGTGGAACACTCTGTACATCGTGATCGCACCCGTCATATGTCGCACTCTACATAAAAGTATATCCAATTATATATATATATATATATATGTATATATATGTATATATGTTGACCTCTCTCTCTTTATCTATCTATGTGCGTTTGTGTTTATGGATTTACTGAAGGTTCTTTTAATAGCCTAGTTGGAGTGTTTTTGGACTTGTCATATGATACCATGATGATTGAAGGGAAAATATTATAAGAGAGAATGAATCAATGAGTGGGCGAAGGGTGTGGGTGGTGGTTACAATAGAAAGGGAAAAAGAAGAAGAAGAAATTACCCAAGGAGAGAAAATGAACTCCAGTGGTGGTAAATAGACCAGTAGGACGGAAAAAAAAAAAGATAATAAGAACAGAAAAAAAAAGCTGTAGACACCAGCTAATCCGAAAAAAAAATCTCTAATTTTTAGATCTATTTTTTTTTTTTTTTTTTTTTTTTTTTTTTTTTCTTTCAATTCTCTTAACCCTCCTAGCATGAAGCTATCTAGTGTTAGTCTCACGTATGGACTATGCTTTTCCAGAGAAATATTTCAAGGTGGCACGCTATTTTGATTATGAATTCGGTGACCTTGAGACGACCACCAAGCTTGAAGACCAACAAAAGCTAATACTCTATGCGTTACGGAAGCAGGCAGAACATGGTTCCTGTACTGAGACAGCGCCATCCATTTGGAGAACACGTGAACGCCTAAAGCACACGGCATGGTCACAGTTAGGTAACATGTCGAAGTTTGAGGCCATGGTGCATTTTGTAAAATTAGTTGAGGAACATCTGGGAGGTGATGTGAATTGGATAGAGAGATGTAGTGTATTAGGTGATGATAAGTCTCAGACAAGCACGGAGAATGTGAGCAACGAAGCAACCACTGCAGATAAAAGTGTATGGGACGATGACCTACGTGAACACATGGAGCCAACACCTTCAAACATAAAATACTTGGCATCAGAGGTGATGCGACTTCGAGACGAGGTTCGTCAGCTGCGCTTGTGTGTGGCTGAACGAGATACAAAAAATGCTAATATCTCAACTATAGTACCACCACGCATCCGAATCCCTATGGGTGAGGTGAAACTTGCACAGCAAACAACATTAGTGCCACCCGAAAAACCAGTAGCATACAACAAAAATAAAAATAATAACTCTCTTGTACCCCCTGTTCGTTCCTCGCCACTCGACATGACAGAGGCGGCAGTGAAGAGCGGACGGGTGATGACAATGGGCCCACGCCCACGAGTCATTGGATGGGCAGAGTGGCTTGGACTCAGCTAGCGAAAAAGGGAAGTTGCATAAAGGGAAATAGTGAAGTAAAAGTACTTTTAAAAGAATAAACGAAAAAAAAAAAAGTTGAGAAAAGAACTACAATTCCACCACTGTTGCATTAACGAGGTTATGTATATCCATCTATCCTCTCTTTGCGGTTTTACTCCCCTTCTTCCATCCATTGGGATCTGTGTCACTCATAAACACGCATATATCCATGTACACAAATTGAAGAATAATGAAACCAATAATAAAGAAAAGAAATAACGACCCTTTAAATAGTATACAATGGAAAAGACGTGGTTTTCTTCTGTGTCTCTGTTTTTTGTCCCCTATAATATGCACTTCAACTTAGAAGAGAGAAACCAGAGAGTACATGAAAACATAAACTGAAAAAAAAGGAACCATTCAACATGCAGCAACAAATCCGCTCCTTGCAATTGTTTTACTACTAGTTTTATTATATTATGGCTTCAATTCATACTTCGAAAGAAATAACCACCGTATCTTCAGCTTTCGAATTATCATCGTTGAAAGGGGAAGAGTATTCTTGTCCCCAATTCTGCTCAGCTGGACGTAGATCAAAGATATCATTCTTCTGCGGTACAAACAAATCCGACGTAACACATACTCCAACAAAATGGGAATGTATAGAAGAAGAAGAAGCTATAATATAACATAGTCTAACTCTAAAAAATTCTACACCCACAAAAAAAAAAGGAAAGCATTTCAGGCCAGCAAACAAATCATGAAAAATACAACTGCACCTAAGAACTCTAATATAAAAGAAAAAAAGAGTAAAAGACCAGATTAATCTATACTACTATGCGTTCTAAATTTCAGTAAAAACATCTTAAAATCACAAAGAGGATCACCACACCACCCTCCTTCTCCAGGCACAAACAACGACAAAACAGTGCAACGAAAAAAAAGTAACGAGGCACTGTAAAGCATGTCAACACGTTTAACCAAAATCCACAGCGTCTCCTCTCCAACCTACTTGGAATGGGTTAGAGGAGTCACTCTCTGACTACCTACAATAACCTGGTGTAGGTGAGCTGGGTGGAGAATGCCACTGGATGTTAAGTACACTACTGTCTGTTTGTTTATTTAATTTCTTTGTGTTAATGTCAGCGTTGTGCTGAGCTTTTATTTCCTCCATTATTTCATGTTTTCTAGATGGAGTTTGCGTGATGCATAAGACTGTATGTGCAGGGCAAGCAAAAAGGAAAGGAAGTTGGATGGCCAAGGTGCAGAGTCCACGCATCGTAAACCCACAACGTTGTTTCTCGCTTCTTTCCCTTTGAGGGATATTTTTGTTTTTCTCTGTTTGTTATTTCTTTCTCTCTGTATGTTTGCTAATTCCGACTCGCTCCTTCGTAGTCGGCTCATATTTTCTACTTATTGTCCCTCACCTCATTACTGTCAGGGAGGGCGTAAGAAGAACAAAATAAATAATGAGGGGAACACTGTTTGGTAACTGCTCAGTGTCATTTCGAGTGGTGCCATTGTTTTTATTTTTGTTTTTCTTATTTCATCCCTTTCAAATAACAGCAATGGATAGTATTATCTCTGTGAATGTGTTTTAGTTTTTTCATGTGTACATCAATCCCCTCAAGTAATCCTTTTAACCGAAGGAGGGGGAGATGGGGGTGGAAAACCGCAATGGTGATTGTTTTGGTGTCTCTATTTTGGAAATCATTTTCGTCCCTCTGGAATGAAGTCTCTTTTTGTTGATGGTGGTGGTGGTGGTGTTCAATATTTACACAACGTCGTAATATATATTTCTCATTTTTCCCTTTTCTCTCTGTGTTAGTGACAAGTTCCAGATATTAAGGCTCAAGCAATGACTGGTGGTGTTCACGTCAGAGGAGCTGCTGCTGTCCGCACCGCCGTGCTGTGGGTGTCGCTCTGTATGCTTCTGCAGCACCTGGGCCACCACCCGCAGTTCACGGCAGAGGCGCAGGGAAGTGTTCAAGTTAACATTCTGCGGTATTTCACCTTTGACAACAACGTCTTCTTAAATACTCCTGGTGGGCGTGTGAATTACGGTAATTCCGTGACGGCGTGTAGTGGGAATGGTGGATCTCTCGTGACTGGTCAGTCAGCTGCTGCACAAAGTGCCATTACTGCCCAGCTGAAGTCTCAGAAGCCGCCATTGGCGCAATTCCCGCCGTTCATCCCGTTCTCAAATACGTATATGGGCGGAGATGCGACGTACAGTATCAACAGTGAGCCGATCCTCGCCAAGAGATGCATAGCAGGGACTGGTGGGGCTTCAATTAATTGTATCTACCGATGGAACAGTGGACTTTTTGCAAGCGGGGAATATGTCGGCAAAGGTGTTCCATTTTACCGTGGCTCGCTTTTTTCTCTTCCAGGTGCAGGACCAGTGAATGGGTACCCACCGTTCTGGCAGATATACTACCCTGCACATGGTAATCCTTATGTGATCTCTCGGTATGGACACGTCCAAGGGGCAAGATCAAAATGGTACGATACCACACATGATGCAATTGACAACACACGCCTACCTCCAGGGGACTTCGTTGTTGTATGTGAAGTTCAAGAAACAACTGCTGGTTCCACTCCTATTCCTACTCCTATTCCTACTACTACTCCTGTTCCTACTACTACTACTACTACTACCATACCACCAGCAGCAGCATCAGAGTCATCATGGATCAAGAAGCATTGGTATGTCCCTCTGATCATTGCTTTGGTTGTGCTGGCAGCTATCATTGGACTGATTATTCTCTGTTGTTGTCTTGGTGGCCGTGACGACGAGAAGTACCTATATCCAATGGCCACTAGAGAGGCCAGTGACGTTCCGCTGCATGCACGTGAAATCACTGATGACGATGATGATTATTATAATGATAATGACAGAGATGTGTCCATGGTTCCATCAGAACCGATGCCAATGGAAGATATTGAATCTGCGAATGTATCAGTGTACTCGGTGGCAGAGAACAATGTTTACGGTGATGGAGATGTATTCTCGAAGGGTAACCGATAAACATATTGTGCATAAAGCACATCTGAAGGTGAAAGCACAACTCTAATACCAGAATTCGTTTCAATTGTTGTTTAAGCATGTGCATATCTAATAAATGAACTTTTTCCCTCTCTATTGTTTTTTTTCTACTGGGTTTTAAAGTTATTGGTTTTTCTTGTCTTTCATGTGGTATTTTCACTCAATCATAATGTGTGACTGTTGATTGTGCAACCTGCTTGTATATACCCTCTTTGAAAAAGAAAGCAGCAAAAGTGAGCCTGTTGATAGAAACGATATAGAGAGATAAACTGTGAGAAAGATAGTGAGTCTAAATGTCGTCTCTTATGGTTTGAATGGGGCTGTGCACATATAATACCTATTTCCCCATCATTGTCAGAATGAATGTGTATAAGAAAAATTAGAGCCTTTAACACCACCTTCTTTTTTGCGTCCAATGTGTGACAAGGATGCTTGGGGAATAAATATGTGATTATCTATTATTTGTACCTTGTTTTAGTATTACTGAAATTATAATCCTATGATTTTCTATTTTTATTGAGTAATGCGGTGGACACGGAAATCCCAAATTATTGTGCACGATACTGCACACGGGAAAAAATAGTGGGAAAATATAATGGGGAAAGGTTTTTATAAAATAAATATGATTTTATTGAATCTACGTTTTCCTCTGGAAACCTCTCTCTGTGTAGTCCATATTATGTTTTCTGCACGTAACATATTTCTCATTTTTCCCTTTTCTCTCTGTGTTAGTGATAAGTTCCAGATATTAAGGCTCAAGCAATGACTGGTGGTGTTCACGTCAGAGCAGCTGCTGCTGTCCGCACCGCCGTGCTGTGGGTGTCGCTCTGCATGCTTCTGCAGCACCTGGGCCACCACCCGCAGTTCACGGCAGAAGCGATGATCGGAAGTGTTCAAGTTAACATTGTGCGGTATTTCTCATTTCCCCACAGTATATTCCGGTTGACGAAGTATGTTAATTACGGTGCTTCTGCAGATGCCTGTAATACGAATGGTGGATTTCTCGTGACTGGTCAGTCACTTGCTGCACAAAATACAATTACCGAACATCTGAAGAATAATCGAAACCAGGCCTACCCTGAAGTACTCGCTTACATGGGTGGGGATGCAATCTACAGTATCAGATTTGACCCTGACCCAAACATAAGGTGCACACCAGGGATTGAGGGTGCCTCACTTAATTGTATCTACCGATGGAACCAGGGTCTTTTTACACGAGAAACATCTGATGGTAGAGGTGTTGATTTTTACCGTGGCTCGCTTTATTCTCTTCCAGGTGCAGGACCACTAAATGGGTACACAATGTACTGGAGGCCCAAGTACCCTGCACGTGGTAATCCTTATGTGGTCTCTCAGTATACGTTTATAGAAGGGACACAAGCTACATGGTATGATGCACCAGTAAATGCATATTTGGATCCTGACCTAAATCTTAACGGCTTTGTGGTCGTATGTGAGGTTCAGAGCTCATCTGATGGTTCAACTCTTGTTCCCACTGATACTCCTACTACTGCACCACCAGCAGAGGCATCAGAGCCATCATGGATCAAGAAGCATTGGTATGTCCCTCTGATCATTGCTTTGGTTGTGCTGGCAGCTATCATTGGACTGATTATACTGTGTTGTTGTCTTGGTGGCCGTAACGAAGAGAAATACCTATATCCAATGGCCACCAGAGAGGACAGCGATATGCCGATACGTGCACGTGAAATTACTGATTATGACGGTAATGTTAATGAAATGAATTTGGATGATCGAGGTATGGTCATGGTTCCATCACACCCCATGCCAATGGAAGGTATTGATTCTGCAAATGTATCGGTGTACTCGGTGGCAGAGAACGATATTTACGGTGATGGAGATGTATTCTCGGAGGGCAACCGATAAACATATTGTGCATAGAGCATATCTTGAAAGTGAAAGAACACCTCTAATACCAGAATTCGTTTCA